ATTCTTTTATTCCCACAACTAGTGACCGGAAATCATTACCAAATTTCGATACCGCAGCTAATGTTTAATACATTTGTATTTAAGTGATTAAATAATTATTTTTGACTAACTACGCCTATTTAAAACTTATTCGATTTGTTTTTGGTTTATATAATTTATTTTCATCTGCCAACTTTTTTTTGACAATTATCAAAAGTGCTGAAAAAAAGGTATAATAACATGTCAGGCATGGAGAAAGATAATACTTTGCAGCACCTCTTTCTGGACATTTTTTCAATTCTTTAGGTTGTTCAAGGAAGGAGATGACAAATCACAACACATAACATTTACTTTTCGATGGACACATGCCAGTTTATATCGGTAAGAACCAAATTCCTCAGACGGATTCGGATCCCTAAAATGTACAGTTTTCAAAATAAATAGTATCTTTAGCCGAAAGATTATTAGGAGATTTGGTCGCCATTACAGATGGATTCGATGGGGTGGGGAGGAATTTAGGGCGGGAGTCTCTCCAAAATGGTAAAATGTAAACATGTCTTATGAAAACTATATTAAAAAATATCCTTAAAAGTATTGTTCGTGTAATTACATGTAATAGGACTTAAAGAATCACTTAAATACCATTTCATACTGGTAGTTATGTTTCTTTATTTTTCTTTTAAAGCAATTATCGTTTTATATATGTAAAGATTTCGGGCTGAAGCCCCCAAAATTAAATCCTTGATCCGCTTGTGGTCGCTATGACATACTTATTATATGTTATGGTTTTACAAATTAAAGTTTTTTTTCTAATTTAATGCATATATTTTTACTTACATGTTTTCTTCTTATTTAATTTTTTTCTTAATTTGTGATTTAATTTGTACATAAAATGTATGAATGTAAACTAGTAATACTTAAAATAATAATGCTTAAATTAAACACTAAATTAAACAAATTAAACTATAAGATTCTTCAGACGGGCACAGTACGCTATCTCGGAATAATATTCGACAGAATAATGACCAGGAGCCCACACGTCAAAATAAAACGAAATACTTTAAACAAGTGACTAAAAATACTATACTCTCTTTTTTTCCAATTCAAAATTGCAAATCAGACAAAGCTAAGTACATACACATCTCTACTTTAACCCAGGACTGAACTTTAAATCTGGACACACTCCTCACAGATATATGGTTTAATAAAAAAGTCTCATTTACAAAAACTACAATCTTTTCAGTCCAAATTTTTAGGATTAATAATAGCAGCTCTCGGGTACATCCGTACATATATTATTACAGTAAGGCTCGAAATCGGTTTTGTACCAAATATAAGTTCCTGTCATGCTCAAATATCATGTATGGTGTACCGTTGGTTTCAGAATTTCACGGGGGGTTAGCAAATCGTATTCTCCACTTTTGTTTTTCTTTCTAAAATTAATAAAATAAATACAAACATTTTTCTAGGCTTCAATACTGAAACGGTGGTAGGTCTGTAGATCGATACGGGACAAATTGGATCTTGAAGATTTTAATGCGGATAGTTCCTCCGGAACTATCGGATCCTGCGTTTCTAAGCCCAAAAACGTACTATTTTCGAGATAACGCGTGGCATAGAGTTCAATACCTTGCATTATTTTGATAACACAATTTGGCATTTGATAACACTATGCTGTGCGAATTTGTCGCACGGGCCTACTAGTAAACAATGAAACGACTTACGTCAACTAACTATCGCCCAACACATGCATACTCTTTACTCATTTCATGTTAAACTAAACTAGACAGCAAAAAAAAAAAAAAAAAAAAACGGCGCACCTCGTGTTTGTGTAGAAATCCAGGTCAGATTTTTGTTTTAAATGAATTGTTGTTTCGAGATGGTTAGCATAGTCTTTCATAACAATAACACTGTATGATTACCTCAAGGTCCATTCGAATATGCGTACCTTTGACCCTGTTTATCTCTTAGTGTTGCATTTGCTGTTCTTCCCTCAGTTCATCACTTGTTGTTTATTCAGTTGTCGTTCGCGCTAAGATCACATTTGTGTTTTTTTTTCTTTCAACTCATTTGTTCGATTGTTTTGTGGTTGTTCGGTTCTAAGGAATCGTTCTAACCACCGAAACAGTCGCCCAGATAGTCGGGTTGGTAAAAGATGGGAGAAGTCAACGTTATGTGGCTAGAACGTAAGGGCTACCAGAAACTGCTGTTCGTAGGGCAGCCCAAAGGTACAGAGAGACTGGTAGCTTCCAGAGGAGACCAGGATCAGGCCGACGGAGAGCGACAGTGCCCGCAGAGGACCGATTTATTACGATGCAGGCTCTGTGAAACCACTTTCAGACGGCAGTATAAACCACTCAGCGCCTTATATTGCCCGAATGTGAATATTAGTGTTGATACAGTGCGTAGGTAGCTTGCTGAAGTTAACCTTCGATCGAGGGTCCCAGCTACTGCGATTCAACTCACCACAGCACATCGTACAGCTCGTCTTACATTTGCTCGGGAATACGCAGCTTGGTCAGAAGACGATTGGGGGCAAGTAATGTATTCAGATGAGTCCTGGTTCTCATTATTTTCTTCAGATCACCGTGTTAGAGTGTGGAGAAGGCCGGGACAGCGTTTTGCACAGTGCAATATTTCTGAAAGGGTGCCTTACCGTGGTGGTCTGTAATGGTTTGGGGCGGAATCATTTTAGGAGCATAAACCGACCTCCTTGTTTTTCCAAGAGGGAACCTAACTGCACTCAGGTACATTTCTGACATTCTGGAAGATTATGTAGTCCCATTCGCCCCATTCATCGGTGAAAATTTCATTTTTACGCACGATAACGCGCGGCCCCATGTTGCACATGTGGTTACTGCCTACCTCGAAGAGGTTGATATACGCACCCTACAGTGGCCAGCCCGCAGCCCCGACCTCAATCCTTTTGAACATCTATGGGACGAGCTAGGGAGGTGCATCCGAAGGTGTCCAAACCCTCCTTTGGACCTCCAAGGCCTCAGGACCGCAGTAGTAGCACAATGGGACCAAATCGGGCAGGAAATGGTTTCCAATTTAATCAGCAGCATGTCAAGAAGAATGCAGGCGGTGATACAAGCAAGGGGAGGCAACACACGATACTGAAAAAGTTTATCGTTAACTTTGCACCAATTTTTTAAGAAGAAGAATCAAATTAATTTTTCACAATATTCAGGATTTGTAAATAAAGTTTTTTTAATGGGTATTTTCTCTTTTTTTTTAATCTGTGCCCTGCTATTCACTCATGGGATATGAGCTCAACTTGGCACACCCAAAAAAAACATCATCCAATTCGAGCTAAATAGGAAAAACAACAAAATGAAGTGCGCCGATTTTTTTGCTGTCTAGTTTATAAGGGCTCAATAACAGACTTATAACCGACAGCGCCACCGTTGAAATGGCTATTAGGAGGAGATTGAAGAGAAACTGGGTGAGAGATCTCCTTCACTGTTATAAGTTGGCAAACTAAGATCACGAATAGATGAATCTGGGGCCAATCCTTCCTCATGCCTGTAATGCCATTACAATCTATAATCCAATCAAATCTGCTGATTGTCACTCTCATGACAGATGAAGGTAAGAAGAGAAAAAAAATTAAATTTTTCTATTATTACACTTTGCTTGAATGTTGTACTAAAAGCAATCGAGATTAAAAAACAATTTTTATAAATCATCGTCTAATTTTCTGATAAAAGATTTGCTTTTTTTTTATTTAAGTCACGTTTTTCATATTAAAAAAGCAAAAACAAAAAAAAAATTGCTAATTAAAAATTTCCTTCAAATTAAATATATAAGTATAATTTTTCTTTTACTACGTCGAGGTATGTTACACTCTGTTCGACATAAAATCATGAATAGAATAGGATAGACAAATATTAAATTAATAAAATACGTTAAGTAAACTAATGAAACTATCTAAAAAAAATGCTTAGAACTATGCAAAACACATATAAGAAATTAAACAAAATAATCACTGTTTAGCTAAAGTAAAGTAAAGAATAAAGAAAGGAACGAAAGCAAAAAATAAATTCATCTTGTAGATGAGCACCAGGTAAAATTAACTAAAGTGAAGTAAAATATAATGACCAACATAAAATGAAACATTTATAACATAAATAGTAAGAAAATAAATAAGTTAGTCAACTTTAACAGCACAGTAATCTTGTAGAACAGAAACGACATGGTATGAAAAATATATGTACAAGTTCATAACTACATTTAAGTATATAACAATAATAATAATACTTTATTTATGCTGGGACAAGTTCCTTTAGAATAATACAAAAATACAGAAATTTGGCTAAGGAGCCTCGGAGATCCATAAATAATATTCACACAATAAATAAACACTCATAATAAAAAAGTATTAGTTACCTTCTGAATTTAATCAATTAATAAAGAAATAATTTTTAAAAAAATTATAAAACATAAGTAAAAATAATTTATATACATACTTACAGTAATATCTATTCATAGTAATATATACAGAAGTTCATCAGAAAAAAACTATATATATACACATATAAACTTTTGTTTATATTCTTTTGTTTTCTCCTATCAATCTACATCTTAGGATATAAATTATATAAGACATTTCTAGTGCTTACAACAGCATTATAAGTATTAATTTGAACATATTAAGGTAATATATAATATATATATATATTGTAATATTTTTATTTTTACATTTATTTATCTCTCTGTCTGTCTATTATTGCCGACGTTTGTCTTTTAAAATCTGAAATCTGTCCTTCTAACCTTTAATCTTTCTGTTAGTCAATTAACCTGGTATTCGTGTAGCTATTTAAGTTTGTAAGAATGGGGTGTATAAGCTTAGATAGGATGAGAAGGATAAGGTATATAAGGTAAGACCGCCAAGAATGATAGGGGGACAACCCCTACACATCCAGGGCTCTGCAACCGAGGAGGCAATCCCCTGACGTTGCGAGGATAGGATAAGACCGCCAAGAATGATAGGGGGACAACCCCTACACATCCAGGGCTCAGCAACCGAGGAGGCAATCCCCTGACGTTGCGAGGATAGGATAAGGTAAGACCGCCAAGAATGATAGGGGGACAACCCCTACACATCCAGGGCTCTGCAACCGAGGAGGCAATCCCCTGACGTTGCGAGGATAGGATAAGGTAAGACCGCCAAGAATGATAGGGGGACAACCCCTACACATCCAGGGCTCTGCAACCGAGGATGCAATCCCCTGACGTTGCGAGGATAGGATAAAGACCGCCAAGAATGATAGGGGGACAACGCCTACACATCCAGGGCTCTGCAACCGAGGAGGCAATCCCCTGACGTTGCGAGGATAGGATAAGACCGCCAAGAATGATAGGGGGACAACGCCTACACATCCAGGGCTCTGCAACCGAGGAGGCAATCCCCTGACGTTGCGAGGATAGGATAAGGTAAGACCGCCAAGAATGATAGGGGGACAACCCCTACACATCCAGGGCTCTGCAACCGAGGATGCAATCCCCTGACGTTGCGAGGATAGGATAAGACCGCCAAGAATGATAGGGGGACAACGCCTACACATCCAGGGCTCTGCAACCGAGGAGGCAATCCCCTGACGTTGCGAGGATAGGATAAGGTAAGACCGCCAAGAATGATAGGGGGACAACCCCTACACATCCAGGGCTCTGCAACCGAGGAGGCAATCCCCTGACATTGCGAGGATAGGTAACCCTACACTCCCAGGGACAACCTGGAAGATGCAAGGGGGACTGTAGGAAAACAAGGGCCAACCAAGTTATTCCTACGAAAGGAGAGAGGAGGTAGGTTAGGAGAGAAAAGAGAAGGAGGAAGGTAAAACCAAAAAATAACACATTGGTCAGGTTTCAAACTGTCAGACAGAGAGATACCAGGAGCCTATGTGAGAAGGTAGTGACTCGGGAGAGAGTGCCTGCCCTAGGGGCCAGGCTGCTATTTATACTAATAGTGAGCCCTCAGACCTGTGAGAGACAACACTAGTAACAATTATTTTAATTAGGCCCTGAGATCTCTAAGTCCAAACTCCTTTTATTTTTATTTAATTATAAATCATGAATACTTATTTTAAAAATATTACAAACATTAGTTATTTACAAAAGCATTAATTACATAAGGAAATAGTTTTAAAATGAAATATATAGTTCACTAGGCAATTAACAGGTTGCGCTACTAAAATTATTAATCATTATTAGAAAAACAATTACTTGCATAAATGAATAAAATAGTTCATTAGAACAACGCCTAGAGGGCGCCACGCGCATCCTCCAAAACACCATACCACTAGTCATTTACAATTCAACCTTTGACAGAGAAGGACCTCCCGTCCGTTAGCTCTAATACATCGTACCTTTTAATCTTTATCGATAGTTAAATGTTATTATTGTTTTTACAATTTCAAATTAAATCACAACTAAAATTAATAAAATACATAGCAATAAATTTAATTTATAAATATATTACATATAAATGCTTCTTTTCACACAGTTCCAAAATAATAAAAGAACAAAACATGAACATGCGTTCTATTAACAATTACAATTTATAAAGGCCCTAATAAAATATGTTACAATATATATATAAATCATTTATTGTAAATATTTATCAACTTCTTTATTAGTATTTTTTCATTATTAAAATGGTTTGATAACAAAAGTAATTTATCTACATTTTCCGATTTCATTTAGTTCTGTCATACTTTATTGACTGCACCAAATATTTGGCAGTATTGTGACCTTATTGCTCATCTTTTTTTTCTTTAATATATCTGTATATCTATGTAAATACTTCTCTCATTACTTGTGTTTATTTATTATTTTATTGTAATGTGTATTTTGGCCAGATTTAACGTTAATTTTTATAATAAATATTGTTATTCTTTATAACAAAGTTTATTCTTCTGTTCTATTCTAAATATATATATATATATATTATTATTATTATTCGCGATTTTTGTATCACCTTCAAACTGGACTACAGATACTTCACTTTTGTAAAAACTTCTTTCTTTAATAAGCTTTAATTCCTATTAATTAATTTAATAAGCTAGGGGTTATCTCTTATTGTGTAAAAAATTATGGGATTTGATATTCTGTCACCTCAGAATGTTTTCAGCAGATATAACTACAATAAAACATTACAAAGTTTTAATTTCATTTTTTCGTCCGATCTGGGATGCTTTATAATAAACTTTTTATCTACAAAAGATATATTAAAAAAATATTATGTTTTCTCAAACTTATCATATAAGATGATCTTAGAACAAGTGATTTTTACACAAATCTGTTTAATGGGAACTGATCCTAGTTTGAAAATGCTGGTTAAAGAAATAATAAACAGTTTAATAAATAAATATATATTATTTTAATTAAAAATACAGCGTATTATAATTATGTAATGATTGGATACCAAACATATCTTACGCCTTCAAATCGGATCAAAGCTTAAGTTTGACAGAACAGTATTGCGGGTTTGCCTACATGAGATCTTTCAGGAGTTATATAAGAGTGGATGCTGTAAGTAGATCCCCAAACTTATATAAGCAGTCCCATCCACGGACATCGGAATTCTGATGCTATTTTATACCGAATGGCCTCTTTCGGAGATCATTCTCCTCCAACACACGTAACTGCCTTATGTAAGTGCAAACCCTACCCTTTTTATATCAACTGATGTTGGATATAGAATATTGATCTTGTCTTTAATAAACTACGATTATATTTTAGACAACTGAATTAGATGGTTCAAAGTAAATTTATCGTGCTATATATGTAGTATTTCCAAGTCAAATTCAGTTGAACCAAAAATAATTTTATTTTATTTATTTAGTGAAATTTACAACTGTATAAACAATACAACTAGTAAAAATGCACACATTGAAAATAATGGCATGAACAGACTTGAAGAGATATTGCCCATTGGTAGCACACTCTATTTAATTTTATTTGAGAAGATCACGTGGCCATCTTCTTTTCAGACGCCTAGGGAGATTATCAGGAATCAAGAAAGAAGCAAGGCTGGAAACAAGTCGATTTGGATGGGACTGGAGTCTATCATGAAAGGATAGGTATCTGGCTCGGGCTAATTCAGCGGCATTAAAGTTTAATTTATTTTTTTTCTAGAAAATATTATTTTTTCACCAAAATAAATGAATCCTTTTCAAAATTAAATTCAAACATTTACATTTCGAATTTCGATTTATTTCAACTGTTCGATATTTTTCGATAAACGAGATAGCAGACCATTCTATCGAAAAAATTTCGAAAAGTTAAAATAAATTTGAAGTTGAATTTGAAATGGCAGGGATGGAATTTTGTTGAGGTTGAATTTAAACTACATGACTCAATTTTTGATAATGATGAGTTGGTTATCTAACTTAGTTTCTTGTTATAATTATTTCATGGACGCTCGAATAGTGACCATTCAAAGGAGACACCGAAAATATGCGGCGAAACAACGACACCATGTTATAAGTATCAGCTTTGACACACGTGTGGAAGTTATGTATTCTAGAATCTTACCCCGTTCCTCCTTGGTATCTGATATAAACGAAATCTTCATAAAATATATTTGAGACGATGTATCTGTTATTTGGTAATTGTGAATTATATTCAAAAGTTATATAGGACGGCTGAATTCAAACGAAATAGCCTAGATACCAGCACCCTAAGTATAGTTGAGCCAGTTGTGTTTACTGAGGATTTCTGGAACGTCATAAACTGTAAATTTTAATTATTATTTTTTTTATTTTAATAGTTTTTTATTGCAGCCTGATTCCAAAAAGATAATATCCCTTTTTTTGTAAAGAATCTTCACTTATCTCGTGTCAAATATGCTTAAAAGTTTGTCCCTTTCATATATTTGTAGCGACTGATACCAATATTTATAGGAAGTTGTGCTAGAGTAATTTCCTAATTTTCCAGATCGATTAAAGATTACTTCTCCATTATTTTTGGTCGCAGCATGATATTATACGCCTAAATTGCTCGTAAAACAATGTAAAACACAAAAATATTTTTTGGAGTTGAACTTTTAGGTAAAGGTACATAAATACATAAGTTAAGTATTAGTAGTCTGGCACCAGGGTCTTCTCTTTAAACTTAAGACTATACTTCCATACACCTACTATCTTATCCTTCAATCTTTCCTCTTCGACATATTTTTTTCAGTTCGACAGGGCTCGGAAGTGTCTTCAGTCCGTCCAATCTTGGCCGGAGTTCCCCAAGGTTCTAGCCCCTCTACTTTACGTTATATACACTTACGATATACCTATTGACGATGAGATCTTGACAGCTACATATGCAGACGATACAAAAATCCTCACTGAACATCAAGAGCCTACACAGGCCTCACTAACTCTACAACATCATTTGCTTAAACTACAAGATTGGTTCACACTATGGAAAATTCGACTTAATCATGACAAATCCAAACATATAACATTTACTCTTCGAAAAAACACCTGTCCTCCAGTTTATATTGACAACAATCAAATTTCTCAAACGGACACGGTACTTTACCTTGGAATCACCTTCGACAGAAGGATGACATGGGGCCCACATGTTAAAATGAAACGCATGACACTTAACAAACGACTCAAACTATTTTGCTCTCTTTTTGCCAAATCTTCAAAACTAAAACTGAAACATTAACTGAATACATATACATACTTAGTTAAGCCCATATGGACATAATCATCACAAATATACGGCATCGCTAAAAAGACCCACCTACAAAAACTTTAAACGTTCCAATCAAAATTATTGTGACACATAACAAAAGCACCTTGGTACGTGACTAACAAAACTCTACATACTGACCTCCACTTTCCAACAGTTGACCAACATATAACGACCCTATATCAACGATTTTACACAAATTTAAATGGACATAATAACAGACTTATAAGAGACATGGCCACAGCTGACATACCTCAGAACATGAGGAGGAGACTAAAAAGGCGTTGGATGAGGGATCTACTTCCTTAGACAACCTAAGTAATTGGAACAAGTTAAGGAAGAGGTACTGCTGAGTACTTTCCTTCCCCATGCCTATCATGTCATTATATCATTATCGCCATCACATTTGCTGATTGTCAACTTATTGTTGTCAGGCGCAAATACATATTTTATAGACAAAAAAAAAAGTATTAGTATACCATTAAAAACTATATATCGAATAAATGAATCATTGTTAAAATTATTGAAACATTGGTAGATATTATTTTTGTCCAATGTTCTGAGAACCATGAGGATAATAGTATTAAAATTTAGTAATGATAGGTTCTTTCTTTTTCGTGGTTAACAAGTATAGGTTATTTCGTAGATAAAAAGTAAAGTTGTTTTGTAGATATAGCCTGTCTTTATATTGTTACAAAAGTAATAATTTGTTTTGTTTATGTGTTTCTAATTCTATTTGGTTTAATTTTTTTTTTTCGTTTTCTCTTAGCTGGCCTTGCTGGAAGACCAATATTTTGTAGTTTCGGTAGCATTTTATAATATCATCCAAAGATAATTTTAACAACGATGTCAGGATTAAACATTATACATA